TGTCTGTGTTAATTGGTTTCCCTTTTCTTTGTTGAAGAGGGTCTGTGCAATCCTTCTGCCTAGTCCGCCATCTTGCCCCGCCACATCCCACCTATTTGCTGTCAAGTCATCCCCAACTCATGGGTGATTTTCAATGGCTGGTATCTCAGTAGATTGCCAGACCTTTCTACTAAGTGCCTCTGAGTAGACATGGACCACCAACCTTCTGATGAACACCCAGATACATTAACTAAAGCCAGATAACAAACCGACTGCCGTCAAGTCAAATTCCAACTCATAGTGACCCTATAGGACAAAATAGAACTGCCCCATCCAGTTTCTAAGTCTGTAAATCTTTACAGAAGCAGACTGTGTCATCTTTCTCCCACAGAGCAGCTGATAGGTTCGAACCACTGACCTTCTAATTAGCAGCCAACTGCTAAACTATTGTACCACCAGGGCTCCTTCCACCTAGCACATAGCAGGTGTTCAATAAATATTAGTTGAACGAATGCTTGCAGTGACCTGGACACCCTTATTTGAGTAGCACAAGATTTAATTTGTTGACTTCTGTTAGTGAATAGAAGACTCTGTTCACTTTGTTTATGGAATGGATCTTAAGTGAAAGGTCAAGGGATTTTAAAGATTATGGTGGAAGATAATACTAAGATAAAACATAATACACTGAGTTCACATAGAGTCCTTAGGTAGTAGAAATTATTGACTAGGAGGCTACTAGCCAAAAGGTTGGTGGTTTAAATCCACCCAGAAGCACCTCACAGAGAGGCCTGATGATCACTTCTGTAAAACCAGCCACTGAAAACCCTATGGAGCACAGTGCTACTGTGACACACATGGGTTTCCATGAGTCGGGGTTGACTCAGCATCTGGTTTGGTTCTTTTCTTGGTTTTGGTCACATGGGTCGGGGAAGCCATTTTTAATGTCCCCTCACAAATTGTATGCAGGAGAATCTAAATAGGAATAAAGTTAATTGTACTTTTTTTCCTTTCTTTTCTCTATATTCATCCTTCAGAATCACCAAAACCACCAGTTGCTCCCAAGCCAAAGACTACCAGTCCCCTCACACCACTTACTGCACCCAAATTCCTTTCATCACCTGGACCTGACAGTCTTCACAATCCAAACTCTACGTTCAGGGGACCAAAGCCCCCCATTGCCCCCAAGCCAAGGCTTGATGCTCCCCATGAGTGGCGAGCCAGCGTGTACATGAACAACAGCTTAAATAAATGCAGCAACGGAAAGCTGCTCTACGTTGACAGGAGGCTTTATGAAGAGCACCAGTCCAACCTGGAGTGCTCTGAGTCAGAGGCAGATGAGGACTACATCGTGGTCCCCAAGTCACCACTGAGAGAGGACGAGCCTGTGAACAGGGGCTACACAGAGAATGAAGTCTTGAGGTCTCTGGACTGTCCTGAGGAAGAAGAACACAAGGGGGAAGGAGGTGAGGAGTATAATGTGGAGGGTCCAGGATCTGGAGAGCATGTGGCTGCTCCAGCTGAAGTGGAGCTGAGTGGAGAAAGTGATAGAGCCGTGGACCAGGCTCTTGAGGATGTGGCTGGGGAGGAAGACTGTGAGGGGTCAGGGGAGCAGGTGCTCACACAAAAGGAGGAAGAGAAGTTAGTGGAAGAACATGACACATACATTCAGGAGGACAGGGGACCTTGGAATAGAGAGGAGGTCTTCCAGAGCAGTATCATCTTGACACACGTTGAACTAGAGCATCTAGCGACCCCTACTGAGGTATCTCTACCCCCTGAGATCCCCATGGAGGTGGAAGAAGACAGTGAGAAAGGCTGTGCCACAGCAGAATCAGTGGACCCAGATGGGCAAGTAGATTCTAATGGTCCCACTGATGTGGATACTGAAGATACCAGCAAGGAGTCCCCAGAGAAGGAGGAATTGGCTTCAGATGTCCAGGAGGCAAACATGACTGTAGAACACCTGGATGACTCTGGGGAGATGTGCGAAGATACCACAGAGAGTGGTGGCCAGGCTGATGATGGTGGCCTTCCTGACCCAGATGAGAGCACTGGCCAGGAAGAAGTGGCGGTCGTCCAGGAGATGGGCGAAGACCTTCAAGAAGGTGATGGTCCCCCGGAAGATGAGCCTGCTGACGAGGATGAGCCTGCCGAGGAGAGCTGCCAGATAGTTCCTTTTGAGAATGACTGTGTTGACAATTTCGGGACATCCCTTACGGGGAGTCCCTATGAGTTCTTTCCGACCGAGAGCACCTCTTTTTGTAGTGAAAGCTATCCATCTTTTTCTGAGACAGTAAAAGGCTTAGAATCAGAAGACAGGTCAAAGTCAGAGCTGTGTGCAGAGGAAGAACCTGATGCTGGGACTGTGTGTGGCCAGCATGGCCCCCCAGAGGGTGCTACCTGTGAGGACCCTTCTGACCCTGAGATCCAGCCAGAGAACACCCCAGGCGAGGACGTCATGGACGATTCACTTACCAACCCCTATGTGATGGGTGTAGGCCTTGCATGCCAGGCTGATCAGTATGAAACGCAGGCTGGGCCCAATGCTCTGAGTGGTTATGGCACAAGGGAAGAAATTAGCTCTGATATGGAGGGCAGCCTCCTCCCCATAGACAGGAAAAACCTTGTTACAAGAGCCCGGCCCCACTCTGGGAAGGTGGCCGGCTATGTTCCAGAAACTGTGCCAGAAGAAACTGGACCAGAAGCTGGCTTGGCGGCCATTGGCAGTGGAGGTGCATTTGTGGAGGCAAGAAAGACAGGTTTGTCCCTAGAGGGGAAGCCTCCAGAAGCTGCCAGCAGGGCCTTACCAGCCAAGCCCAGAGCCTTCACTCTGTACCCACGGTCATTTTCTGTGGAAGGCCGAGAGATTCCATTTTCCCTATTCCATGAACCAGAGGGATCTGGGTTAGATGACCATCGGATAAAAAGGAAGGAGGATAACCTTTCTCTGCCCTGTGTGATTGGCTCTTCTGGAAGCTTCTCCCAGAGAAACCACCTGCCCTCCAGCGGCACGTCAACACCATCATCTGTGGTCGACATCCCACCCCCCTTTGACCTGGCCTGCATCACCAAGAAGCCTATCACAAAGAGTTCGCCTTCACTCCTCATTGAGAGCGACTCCCCAGACAAGTACACCAAGAAGAAGAAGTCATCCTTTAAGCAGTTCCTGGCACTGACATTTAAGAAGAAGACAGAGAGCAAAGTGCATGTGGACGTGAATGTGTCTTCCTCCCGGTCCTCCTCAGAGTCCAGCTACCACGGGCCTTCCCGGCTCCTAGAGATTGACCGGAAAAGCCTCAGTAACTCACCTCAGCTGAAGTCTGGCACAGGGAAGCTCCGGGCTTCTGAGTCCCCCTCCTCCCTCATCTTCTACAGGGATGGCAAGAGGAGAGGTGTCCCCTTCAGCAGGACGGTGTCCAGAGTGGAGTCCTTTGAAGACCGCTCCCGGCCTCCCTTCCTGCCCTTGCCACTGACAAAGCCACGGTCCATCTCGTTCCCCAATGCAGACACTTCAGACTATGAGAACATTCCAGCCATGAACTCGGACTATGAAAATATCCAGATTCCACCCCGGAGACCTGCAAGGACTGGGACTTTCACGAAGCTCTTTGAAGATCAGAGCAGAGCCTTGTCCACAGCAAATGAAAATGACGGCTATGTAGATATGAGCAGCTTCAACGCCTTCGAGAGCAAACAGCAGAGTGCAGACCAAGAAGCAGAAAGGTACCATAAAATTGTGTTTTCTTTCTTGTTGGGCAGGGGTGATTATCTGAGAGGCAGCTGAGATGTGGGCGACAGAATGGGCTTGCCTTTGAACCTCCTGTTTTGTTTCCTTCTAGCTGTGTGACTTAGGGTGAGTGGCTTTACCTCTCTGAGCTTTAGTTACCTCATCTGTGAAATAGGACTTATGTTTGAGAATGTCAAAGTAGATAATCTACATGAAACTACTGTGTAAAGTGTGAGATACAGGGCAATGTGAGCATTTGTATTTATCTTCCTTAGGGGACTTTTATCCTATCTTCTAAGTAGATGACTTTGCTACTGGGAAAGTCACCAAGAAAGAGGGTTCTGGAGTCTTGCCAAACTAAATCTGTTTCACCATCAGGAAAATACCCAAAATCGAGATGGATACCTTTTTATTGTGTAAATATACATTGTATTCAACAGGGAACTAGAAAAGATGATTTATTTAAATTGTGTAAAGAGCTAAGGATGCCCTGAGCTAAATTTCTGAATGAAGTCTTTAAGAGGTACACCTAAGCTGATTTTTTTTGGGCTAATTCACTTTGGAAGAGGGAGTGAAACACTGGAGTTATTGATAACAGTGGGGGTTTTCTGACCTCACCTTTCCAGGACTGACTGAATGCACTTATTGATCATTCCAAGTGGAAAATTGCCATATTTTGCTGTTCCTTGCATATTGTGAATATAACTTAAAGGCTGCAGTCAAATAGCAGCCATTTATTACTCATCTGTGGCTGCTGATCTAAATGAATGAAAAGCCCAAAATTGTGAGTTTAGAAGAAATATCTGGTTCTTTCCTCTAAAGTTGTCATTGTTGCTAGATGCCATTGAGTCAGTTCCGACTCATAGCCTATCGTTGCAGTTACTGGGTCAATCCTTCTCATTGAGGGTCTTCCCCTTTTTCACTGACCCTCTACTTTACCAAGCATGACATCCTTCTCCAGGGAGGTCCCTTCTGACAGCATGACCCAAAGTAGGTGAGACGAAGTCTGGCCGTTCTCCCTTCTAAGGATGATTCCAGCTTCCTCTAATGTGCAGTAACTGAAACAAATCCTGCACAGCTGTTGCTGCTAGAAATTCCTAGGGGATCAGCAGAAATGAATAGATAAGAGTGATTTGCAATTAGTGTTAGCTATATCTGGTGTACATAATGTTAGGAAGTGTTTGGATGGTGTGTTCTCTTGAGTATTTTATGCAGTTTCCCACCCTGGCTCCATCTTCTCCCTATCCCGAGTCTGGGTAAGCCTATTTATTAGTTTTCTCTAGGATGAAAGGGTCTGTTTGGCAAGCAAAGGTAATCACCAGCCCTGCCTGAGGGACAGAGTCTAATTTGGAAACAGTGGACATGTGGGAGCGAGTAGAGGCTTAGGGCCAACCAATGCATTGCATTAATAGTTATCAGCAGGGTTTGACCAGGGCAGAACATAGCCCAGTGCCTTCCAGCACTAATAAAAACAGAACCAAGCTTTTGACATCATAAAATCTCCATGCTGGAAGGGACCTCAGAGGGCATATGATCAAGCCTCCCATCTCTGATAGGTGGTCATCCAGTCTGTACTTGAATTCCTCCAGCCACAGGGAACACCTTGCCTCCTGGAGCTGCCTAGTCTGTTCTAGGTACACTAATTAACTCACAGCCATCCAGTTAATTCCCAGTAGACCCCTATTGGGTTTCCAAAGCTGTAATTCTTTATGGAAGCAGACTGCCTCATCTTTCTTCCTCCCAGCAGCTGGTGGATTCAAACCACTGACCTCTTGGTTAGCAGCCATATACCTTAACCACTGCACCACCAGAGCCCCTCTGGTGCCCTGATTATTAGGAAGTTTTCTTTCTGATGGAGGCAGCACTATCTTCCCTCTCAGATCCCTACTTCACTCACACTGACTCTGGTCTCTTAAGCACGTGAACTCATTTCCTCTTTTGTGTAACAGCTCTTCAGCAATTAAAATCCACTTCTATAGAATCACAGAATTTTAGAGCTGGAAGGAACTTCAGACCTCTTCCAGTCCTGTTACAGAATAGGAAACTGAGGCACAGAGAGGGAAAGGGACTTGCCTACTATCTAACAGCAGTGCTAAGAATTGGGTTTCCTGACTCCTGGTTCAGTAATTTGCAGTGATTACATTAAGGGATGCCAGATCTGGTTGTGCAGGCTACACACTATACAACCCCAGGGCTACCATTCACCTTTTAGTCTGTGAATGACGCCCCCTGGAGTTGTGTAGTGTACTGGCTACTTGGCCATCTGTAAGGGTTCTGTTGCTTTGATCTGTAGTTTATCCAAAAAACAAACAAGTTCCCTTCATCCAGCCTGACATGACAATAAGGGAAAAAGATAACCAAGAATATGCTAATTTACCATATTGAGACTGTATACTGCGTGCCAGACACTGTGCTAGGTGCTTTCCCTGAATTACCTCACATTCAGTGTTACAGCCCAGGGCCTTGGTTGAATGTCCTGAACTGTCAGACTCTGAATTCCAAAAGCACTGTTGGCCCTGCTCTGTGGATATGGAATAAACCTCCCGTGCAGGAACCACATCCTCTTGGACATCAGGCAGCAAGCAAAGCTTTTTCCTGCTTTCCTGAATGAAGAGATGGAAGCAAAGAGGGAGGAAAATCCCTGCTTTGGGCTAGTACAGGTTTGGGCAAGGGAGGTTTCAGACACATCAAGTTGAGAGGCATGGATGACTGCCAGTGTGGGTGGGGCTCCCCTTCTTCTGCACTGAATGGTGCTTTGACTGTGAGGGCTGCTGCTAATTTGATACATGTCCACAGGGGTCCTTGGGGTCGGACGGGATAAGAGAGTAGGGAGGCAGTTCCTTCCTCCTTCCGCTACTTGTCCAGCTGCACACCTTGCTTTTTAGTGTGAGAATCTGAGGCAGAAGCCAAAATAAATATAAACAGTTCTGAAAGAGCACAAGACAGTGTGCTCTGGAAGACGTGGGTCCAAAGCCTGCTTATGAGCTTGCCTTGGGAAAGGCTGTAAAATGAGAGAGTTAGAGCAGATCTGTATTCCTCAACTGTTAGCCTTTCTGGTATCACTTTTACCATTTCTGCTACACTGCCCGCACTAACATTTTTTCCTTAGATCAGTCCATCTTTTTTGCTTAATAAAAAACAGAAGAAATTTTATGCCACTGTTGGGAAATGGGAAATCAGTATCACTTGCCATAAATAGAAGGTAGTTGAAAAATAAGATACAATAAAGAATAAAATGAAATTAGTAACATCTAGTGAGGTTTTTACTTGCCAAAGCTGTGAGCTCGGGTCCTGGTCTCTTTGTTAAACAGGGAGAAGAGGAAGTATTGGGGAGGTGTTGAAGACACCTACCATATGGAGACTTTGAACTTGACATAATCAGAAGGATTTAAAGAAGCTGGAAAAGGGAATAACTCTTGTATGGTATGATTCACTATTATTTGAAGTCCTTTTTTCCACTAGTAGGACCGCCCTTCAAGAAATGTAGAATTAAAAAAAGCAGCAGAAGAAAGAAATGTAGAGCGCATTATAGAATTCAACAAGCCCTTTGAGACCCCTAAATCAATGAGCAGCAGCTCAGGGTCTAATGATGATTATAAAGTTTCTTCTATGCAATTACTTCCTTTGAGACTTATAGATGTATAGATAATAGCTTTTTAGTAGATAGAGAAATATTCTTATTAGCTATCTTATATTTTTATAAAACAGAAATTATATAGTTACCTATGTTCATCTTCCCCATGGTACACAGTGAAAGGTTTTGTTTTCCTTTAGTTTAACATGTGTCCTGCAGAGCATTCTTTTGCTTCTGAGTGGACACTTCATGGAAAGAGAAGGGGAAAAAAAAAATGTCAGTAACAATCTAGCCCAATGTGGTAGTTAAGTTTGTGTGTCAACTTGGCTGGGACTGGTTGAGTGGCTAGCAGCTGGATGTAGTTATTTCCCATGGTGAGATTGGTAATTAACTCCATGGTGGAATCTATTGGAGGGCTGAGTAGCTGCTTTAGGGATGTGGTCTGCTTCCTGTGTGTAAGAAACAGCTTTGGGAATGGTCTCTAGCTTATGGCATGCTTGAACCCTGCATGTAGCCTAGTCGTTGTTCAGCAGCCTGCCATGGTTGCTGATCTTGGGACTTTTAATGGACTTGAATTAATGGCCTGCTGTGTGGCTTAGGGACTGTGCCTTTTTACTTGTCAACCTTGGGTTTGTCAGCCTCAGCAGCCAGCAGTTGTCTCAGTGAAGAAAAGCCTCTAGCTTCAGTGGGCCGGGAGTAGAAGGCAGAGCTGAAGCCCATGGTTGAGGGACTTTCACCCAGCCCCTAGAGTCTAGCACGTTGAACTCGGACCTAAAGCCTCCAAAATTGTAAGAGAATAAACTTGGTTTGTTCAAGCCATTCTGTGTGTGGTATAATTCCTGTCAGAGTGGCACTAGGTAACCAAAACACTCAACATTACTTTGGAAATAGAATATTTTATGACTTTAGTCAGTCAGTATTCTTTTTTTTTTTTTATTTTTTTATTTTTATTGTGATTTGGGTAAAAGTTTACAGAGCAAATTCACTTTCCATACAGCCCATCACATACACTTTGACTCATGACATTGACTGCAATCTTCCACAATGCAACAGCTCTCTTCCCACTTCCTCCCCATAGTTACCTCTTCCCTATGTCCTTCCCTTGCATGCACTCCTGCCCCCCGAGCTGTCTCCTTGTGCATACATAGCTGTTCTATTCTCCCATAATTGATCTCTCCAAGGAGTGTATCTACCTAATGTAAATGATTAGCTCATATGCCTGTCTTTTGTTTGGCTGGAAGCCACAGGAATGACTTCAATTCCAGGCCTGAAGGGCAGCTAGGAGCCATAGTTTCAGGGGTTTCACCAGGCTCTATCAGACCAACAAAACTGGTCTCTCTTTTTTTCTTTTTAAATAATTTTGAGTTTTGTTTCATATTGTTCTACTACTTTATCCAAGATCTCCTACATAGACCCCCTTCA